CTAACTGTCCAGCTACTTGCCCTCAGAAACTGTCCCCCCATGCTAGTAAATTGTGAACTACTTGAAAGTAAAAGCAAGCATGCATTACTTCCGAAGCCTTGACATGTTTATGAGGAATCACAGGCTGAAAATATTGTGGCATATTGGCTCTATACAGGAACTGTTGAGCCACAGAGGCCTCAGGGCATACGCACAATGGGAGAGTTGTGGACTGTATCGGAGCGCTGCTAGGTGACAACTCTGTGAACGCTTGGATAGCGCAACAGGAAGTAGGGGTCATGTGAACTCTGTGTTTCCCTAAGTGACTTCACATATCCCCACTCATCCCGTCACTATGCAACGCTCAGTAAACACCCCTCCCTGCTAGGCTGTGATGTAATGCAACAGTGGAGTCCATGCAGTGACTGGTTGCTAGGCAATCGGTCGGCAAACACGTCCAACAATACAGGCTGTTTTTTGTGTGGTCTGTGAGAGGTCTATGTAAGGGGGTTCAATGCACCAGGTAGTTCAGCCCCGTGTGGAGGTGGGGTCGAATACCTCCAGCGTGAACCTGCGAGTCGTAAGAGGCGACGAAAAGGGAAATCTCAGTTCTGAGACAGTAAAATATGGTCATGAGTCCCAAGGGACTCGGACCCAAGAAAGACTGCGCTGGCAAGGGCCAGCAGCATATACAAAATACAGAACCGTCCTCTCGTCAGAGAGGGCGCCCCACAAAAACAAGACCGTAACTGTCAAGCAGTAATAAATATCTGGTCATGAGTCCCAGATGGGGCTTGAAACCAAGACTTACTGACTGACTGGCCGTCAGTCGCAAGGTGACTTTGACTTTGACAGGTAGTTCAGTTGAAATATAGCAGCCACCAAAGACAGTTGAAGTCTGGAAGTGACTACAGCAGAAGTAATTGGGACATTGAAATTGTGAATTGTGTAAGTGTGGATAAAAGTGCGCAATAAATTTGCTACATCCAAGACCAGCGTGAAGTTATTTGTAGCACCACACAACCAACATGTAACAATATTTTAAGTCACAAATTTTATGAATAATTCCCTATATTCATATCTATTTAAGAAAAACAAAGTGACTAACAGGTACAGATAAAAATACAGAATTTAAATTATTTTCTGAAATTTCTCATCTAAAAGCAGGGGTGCATAAATTACGTGCAGGTGTACACTATGCAAATACATATAGTACCTTCACCTAATATTAAGGTAATTACATGATGACACATGGATGAAATTCAAACTATATTTTGGCTGGAAAATCTCAAGGGAAAGCAAGATTTGGTAAACCACAGATGGGAGGGTAATACTGAAAATGGATCTTAGAGGATATGGGAGTGAACAGGGTTCAACTGGCTAAGAACAATCCTTAAGGTTTTATAAAGTATTAAAATCTGTTGATGAGCCTGTAATTATCAACTCCTGACAATACCACAACTGCAGTCAACATAACAAACAAGTGTCATGACATGTTTATACGTAGGTAAGTCAATAAGTAAGTTACAAATGGATACAGAACTTAAACAAACAAGAGTACTGATTTGAAAAATGCTTTCATTTCTCAACACAATCTCCCTGTACACTGAGGCACTTGTTCCATCGTCTGCGTTACCGTGTCTCACGGTGTTGTCGCTTGCAGATTTACCTATACTTTTTCTTCAACCCTGAAGATGGGGGTGATACGTTCCTCCGAAACGTCGGTTAACACCACATATACACGGCGCCAAAGCCCAGAAGACTGCTTTCTTCAATGTGATGTTCTGTCTATATTGTGACTATGGACACTACAGTACACCACCACACAAACTATACACTGTAAATAGCCCTGGTTACAATGATCTTACCAATACACTTCTCTGTATTCTCCAACAGTAGCTGTGGGTTCATCTTTGAGAAATCTGCAACCTTGTCCTGAGGCAGGAATTGGCACAAATTATCAACCTGGATGTTCAGTTTGCTCACAAGATCCTCAATCTGCAGAATAAACAACAAGTCATGGTTATTTTCAATCATGTCCAGCCGATTATTTCCATCATTTATGCTCATATTTTCCAGCGTTCTGAATTTAACCTGATACTGTCGTTTAACTTCAAAATGTCTATGCTACTTTTCTTTTCCTTGTTTATTTACTGGAAGTCTCTTACTTGTGCAACCACTCATCTGTAATCAGTATTCCAGTCAGCTCCTCTAATTTACTGGACATCACACCAGTGTGTCATGCTTTATCTGTTAACACAGAATCAGTGACAATCCTGTGATACCAAAGTTGAGGTTTTGATAACAGCTTCAAATGTGCACTGTAGAGTTCACTTTGCTCATTGACACTGAATGTGTAGCACTGTGCACTGCCGCTCACTGTTTCTAACATAAAATGTACAGACCTCTTCAAACACAGTACACAGTGACCCTTCAATTTTACGATCCCAGATTTTATGATTTTTTCAGTTTATGCACTCTTTCATGGTCCTGGCCAAATGCCTGTAACAATAATGCTACACTCTAGTGGATTTTATGTTTCCACAACTCTACATTTTCCCTGAATTTGCAGTTGATTTTTTAAACCTGGCCATGAAAATGTACCTGATTTTACGTTTTGTATTTCAGTTCTCACGATTTCTTATCCAAGACAACACACCTCCTTCCTTATTACCAATTACAATTAGTTTTGTCTCAAAATATGTATCAGGTGGCTGATGCACAGCTGCAAGTTATTCGTGCTCGCACCATGATACCTCAATACGCCCTAGAATGCATGACCAGATTCTTCTGCCACCACAGTACTAATAGGTAGTGCATGATGGGCCAACCTTGATCCTGAGAGGTCTTACTATAATAGTAATTTAGTGAAGTGTATTTTCTCTCTCCCATGTCTGACAAGAGCACTGAATAATAACCACTGCAACACAGCAACCACTGTGTTTTCGTAAGTGGAACACTCAACAGAAATGCACCCAGGTTAAATTACTCAATTTGCCTTTGTCCATATGACATCACTTCATAAATACCTAATTTTCTTATACACTAAGATGAATTTCATAGCAAAAGGATGAAATATGGATAAAGGAAAACTAAAACTAAACTCCATGGCTTTAGTCCTCAAGTGAACTATATCAACTGAGCGACCACAGCTTGCTGGCGAAGTTACTGCCAACTTTAGTAGATAGAGGGTATCTGTGGTCAGCGCAAAGAATCCCTATGGCCGTTAATTTCGGTTTTCTAGACCCAAGCCGCTGATTTTCCATTCAAGCAGCTCCTCAATTATTCTCACAAGGATAATTGGACCCTGTTCCAGAGCCACTATTTCTCAGAAAAACTGGTAGAGCCGGGAATCGAACACGGGACCTCTGGATCTGCAGCCAGGAACTCTGACCACTAGACCACAGAGGCAGTCAGTAAAGGAAAGCATAAAACACAATATGTGGAATAAATATTTCAGAGCAAGGTTATGCATATATTGGAACATATGTTGAACAAGCATCACATTTGAGACTTTCAGTGTCCACACTAAACATTACCATTAAGGATTGCGAAGATTTTTATAGAAATTTTGTTCAATGGAGACCTTTCTCAAAACAGCTGAAGGCACAGAAATGTTCACCACTGAGGAACTGGAATATGCACTTGCAGCATTGTGCAAGCAAGCACGTGACAGTAATGCTTTTGTAGACGGCACCCACCTCGAGGAGAAGGCCTTGCACATCTTTGCTCATCTGGGAATAGCCAACTTTTGACATCTTCCAATGGTGAAATCAACATATTGAAGAGGAGACACAACATTGCTCAGACAAGTCTATCAGACAAGAGCAGAAGTGTTGATGCAGGATCTACTGAAGACTGGGAAAATTACTGACTACTGCAAGATATACTATGGCATAAATAATAATGCTGATGAGACAGGTCTGTTTTCCAGTCTGAAACTTTGCAAAACCATCACTTCGGGGGCTACTGGACTATGTCTAGAGCTGTCTGTAATACCTCTAATACAGTCAGAGGGAATTATCTCTCAAAAGAATATACAGGTTACATACACAGTGTGTCCAGGTTCTGTTAGAACTGTGTTCATTAAATACAAGACGTGAATTATTTTCAAAATTTCGCTCTTTTTATTCAAAATAGTCTCCTTCTGAATCAATACATGGTTGCAATTGATTGAAAAGTTTTCGAAAACAGTCACTGTACTCCTTTTGTGGAATCCCATCTAAAACTGCAGTACATTCCCTTTGGATGTCCTGGATGGTGTCGTGACGGTCTCCTTTCATCGCCAACTTAACTTCTGGGAACAACCAGAAATCTGCTGGAGCCAAATCTGGCAAATACGGAGGATGATCAAGGACTGTGATCCCTTTTCTGGCTAAAAAATCGTGCACGATCTTCAATTTGTGGGGTGGGGCACTGTTGTGGAGGAGCGACCAGGAACTTTGCTCTCAATATTGAACTGCTGCTACTCCAGTCTTCACCCTACCACCTACAACCATCGTGAAGTCGGGAGTGGTTCATCATCACAGGCTCTCGCATCATGTTCACAGTACTCCCTGAGGTCGTCGCAGGGAATCCAAGCTCGCAGCGGAGGGCCTAACAGAAGTTATAATGATCGACCATATAACAATAACAGGATTTAATGAGAACACAATATAATGCACTACAAGAATGTACAAAAAAATAGAGCACTATGGGCATACCATGTTGCTGACAACCCAATATACATGGCTGATTTCAGCCCTATACTTATCCGCACTTAGGGGCATCAAACTTGGCTGACATGCCCAATTCCACTGACCCACCTACATTATGTACAGAAGTCGTTACACCACAACATGACTTCACTACTGCTTCTTGATCAGCCACAGGCGGCCCCAAAGAAAATATATATACTAACTAAACAACTCTGCGTATCGCAGCCATACTTTTCCCCTGATGGCTGGCGATTGCAAGTAACCCCGACGTCTGCAGCCAGCTCCCGACTACACCAAAACTAGATTTAGAAAAAACCCTGCCGAACTGAAATTTAGAAATTCCTCCCGCTGGTCCGCCAATGTCCTAGCCTGAGTGGATCCACTATCAGACTACTCCATTGCTCCCCAAAACATACTTCCTTCCAAGACACACAGGGGTAGGAAGGGAGGGGAAAAACCACGTGGAATAGGGGAAGAGGAGGAGGGGGGTAAATTTTGGGACAATGATAAGGGGTAGTGTGGAAGGTAGTGTGGAAGGTATGGCTGGAAGCCATGACGTCACAGAAGGAAGCCGTTGCTTCAGCATGGCTCAATATTCAGGTTGAATTCAAAGAATTCTCGCCCACAAACGATTGATGATTCTGATATAATAATCAGAATTCACTGTTTGACCTTCTGGCAGAAATTCCTTGTGAATGGTTCCTTAGGGACTGAAAAAAACAGTTAGCAGTGTCTTTACTTGACTCTTTTGTATGTGCACTTTCTTTGGTTTCGGCTTCTTGGGGCTCAACCACACTGCACTCTGCCGCTTTCTGAGAGACTCATATAGAAAACACCATGTCTCGTCACCAGTAACAACAAATTTTGTAAATTTTGTATCACTTTGGAATGACCATAACATGTCTTTGCAGTGTCCCACTCTGGCATGTTTTTTATTGCCTCACAGCGTGTGGTACAAACCCCAAATCCTCGGTCAAAATTTAATGCACAGTATTTTTTGGTATTCCCAAAAGCTCCTCGATGAGTCTTGCAGAAACACACCTGTCTGATGGAAGGATTTGGTCACTTTTTTCAAGTTTTCTTCAGTGCGACTTGTTCTCGGCTTTGATGCACGTAGAGCATCTTCAATGTTCTCCCTGATGTCACGAAATACAGCATACCATTGAAAAATGTTTGAGCGACTCAAACAGTTACTACTGTATAAACTTTTCATCATTTTGTACGCGTCTACGGCTGTTTTGCCTACTTTCAAACAAAATTTGATACTGGCTCTATGTTCAACCACCATTTTCCGATGAGAGTCAGAACAGTACTGTTACATTCAAGGTCAGAACACATGATGCAGCGATGTTTGCGCTTTGAAATTACAGACAGCCACAGCTGAAACTTCAAGAATTTTAATGCCACAACTCACCAACAGATGGCATTGCAAGGCAAAATTAAAAGAAAAATGAGTCCTAACGAATCCTGGACACACCGTGTATGCGTGGTTGTCACAGTCCCAATGCTTGTCTTATAGAGGAACATTATGGGGAAGGAAACTGAATGTAACAGTAAAATTAAGAGCTTTTCTGGGTCTGTCTGTCCCACAGGAACATCTCCTGTATTGCTGGTTGACAATTATGTATATGGATTTTGAATATCCTGCCTATTTGCTAGATATATTTTCTGGCAGCCTTAACAGAATAATTGATGTACACCATTAATGTTAAAAGGTTAAGAGTTTTCATTTTAAATGTTCTTTTACTGAGGTTCTAAAGGTTGCCTTTATAACAATGCCTCTGACTATTGGAAGACTGTTCTACCTTCTTATAAAAAAAAAAAGGGCCCACTATTTGATCCTGTCTTCTGGTTGGTTTATGTTTATATTTTCTGTTATGTTTGTTAATGTTTATACAGTTAATGTGTGATAGAACAAGTATGGCTTATAATGAAGTGACAGAAGTCATTGACCATCGGCTCATTAACATTACATATATTGAAAACCAATGCATAAAACAAGGGATCTTCTCTTGTACATTTGTCACACTAAGTGATTCCTAAGTAGTCACCACTGTTTCCTAATACCTTTTTTCACCAAATATACTTGCAGTTTTGCTTCTGAAGTTATTTATCACTAGAGCTGTAAAGGTTCTGTTAACCTAGGAGAAAGTTTGTGTTCTGGAATCTAACTGCAAGCAGATTACCTAGCCACTCAAAGTTTTAACCACAGGATGATGATGTAACAACACAACTACGCAGGCACATGATTCAGGTTTTGTCACATCAAACATTTAACTGTGTTTCACTTGGCACTGACTGCAGAATTAAAAACAAAAAGTTACTATGGCAATGAAATGGAGCTTCAGACTTGAACATGAAGCTCAAAATTATTTACCTGGCTGGAGTAAACAGTTCATCAGAAAGTGACATGGGAAGGCAGTAAGGATTAACTTCTTTGACATTGTTTATGATACTAAAGAGGAGAATATATTGTTATGTGAGTGATTACAGATGAGGTTTGGATCAGTTAATTGGATTTACTGAATTCTTACAGATCCGTGACTACAAGTAATTATAACATCTGCATTAATTCCCACCCTTTACAGTTCACTAGATTACACACTTAAGTACTGTCAGCCTGCTGTGTCTTCACCAATCTTCTGGTAACGGGTACCAACAGCGATGCTCCCCTTCTTCTGGGTTCCCAAAGTATCCCGGCCTCAACTACAGCAACTCTCAACTGACTGACTGACTCTAACTAAACTGCTTCTAGACTTGTCCTGCATATAACATCTCACCATGGACCATGTAGAGAATACCACTTCCCATACAGTTGTATCTAATGGTTGCCATGGAAACATGCGTGTTTGCAGAGCTATTACATACTAACAGCTGTTGTATATTTGCTTATTTTGCAGTCATTGCCTAGCAACAAGTCTACGTGCCACATTGTGCTGTATACTAAACCTAAGTAAACCAACATCATTTCTTTTCTTCATGCATACAGATTGGTGCAATTAATTCCAGTTTCAATTTGTGTCTGTATGTCAGACACGATGAAATGAGACCTGTGCTATCAGTGCAACATTACAGGCACATGAACTACAGAGGGCATGCTTCATATCCATACAATAGTGAAGTACATTTTCATTACAAGTCTGGTAAAATAAATGTGTTTATTTGATTATGTTAAAAGATTAAATATTTATAGGTTCATATATAGTTTACATGCCACTACCATAACACATGTTTTACAGGTAAGCATAATGGCTGATTCACAACCCTTACAACCACCAATGTAGTGTACGTATGTAAGCACTGGCATGATTTGTTTCATCTCTTATGTTGTCATTCAACTCTGACACAAGTTGATGGGTTTGTCCTCATATGCATGCCCATGTAGTGCATTATGGGCAGAATGTGAGTGGAAATTGTGAGCATGGGCAAACTGTGAGCAAAATGAGTGATCCATGCTTGCAGGTATATGGGACATTCACTTGTAAAGGCAGCTCCTAATTACCACTCAGTTCTGAGCAGAACAGATATGTAAGTTTAACAAAATCTTTAACTCTACAGTTCAGGTAATGTTTACAATGATGGGGATGTTATTTTCATATCCCTACAATAACCACTTCATAGAAGAGGAAATATTGCAGTAACCATAGTATTATCCAAACTTCTGTGTCCATATTACATTATATGTAATTGGTGGTTGGGGAACAGACATACAGTTACATATTTCAACCATATTTTGGTATAACAAGTATACGGTAGAATGAAAATAACATGAATTTGATAAATTCTCATAATTTTGATGTTTCACTGTACTAGGTGTACTGAGTACTGGTCATTATTTAGTACTGTGTCATATCTGATCAATGGGTTGCCAGGCAACATCTCTGTAAACACATTATGCTCATGCAACAGTAGAGCAAGCTGGCAAAGGAGTGGTGACATCACAGAGCAACAGTAGGTGGCTGTCACGTGACATTTGTTTCGAGCGTGTCCACCAGCTTGAGAGTGTGCGGTGATGTCACGGAGCAACAGTGGGTAGGGGTCATGTGATATGTGTTTACTGTTGGTCGATGTCCATCCCTCAGCTATATAAGTGAGCAGTATTCCTAAGCTGGCAGAGAGTTCTGAGTTTGTCGTAGAGAGAGAAATAGTAGCAGCAGAAGCATGCGAGAGTGAATTGGAACTAGAAGTGACAATGGCAGTAAGTGACAGAGTTTTGAGTTCTGAATTCCTTGCAGGAGACAGCCACAGGACGTTCATATATGAAAAAGTTTAACTTGTGAACTGAAGACTTTATGTCTGCTACAGTGCAATGGGACTGGGAGTGTGTAATTTTGTGAGACTATTACAGTTCCTGCATTTTAATTGGGGTACCACAGGACCAGTGTGTGTGTGTAAATCAGCAATAGTGCTGTATTTAAGTGAAATTAAGAGAGTGTGTGTACTGAAGTGCTAATAAATCCAATCATCCGAACTAGAACCCATCATTTTCGTTGTGCATACCACCCTACAAGTGACTGTATTTCTTTTATGGTTAATTATCTCGATTTCCCTTCTGTAGAAATGGGGAATTTATCTAATCTATTAACCAAATATTTTCAAGCTGACTTTTTTCCTTTCATTGGGGGGGGGATTTTGAACATGTGAGATTTTCAGTCCAAAATAATGTTTTTTGGATTTATCAGATGTCTATGTATGTTATCCCAGGTTCACGGAAAATTTCAAAAACAAACTTGCTACTTCATATAACACCTGTGCAAAACAGCATTGGCAACTGCAACAAATTGGAAACTTCCCATTTCAGTGATCACTCCTCTGTAATACCTCATACACGTGGTGTGTTCAAAAAGTATCGAACCTTTGGTCGGCAGAAATACATTTATTGATTTAGGGGTACAAAACCCTAATACCCTTCAAAGTAGTCTCCTTGGTAACGCACACACTTCTCCCAGCACTTCCGCCATTGCTGGAAACACTTCTGGAACGCGTCTTTTGGAATGATGATCAGCCGGCCCATTGCATTCTTCATGATGTCTTCTCTTGACTCAAACTGGGTTCCTTTCGGCGGCATTTTCAGCTTCGGAAATAGCCAAAGGTCACATGGAGACATGTCGGGGGAGTAGGGAGCCTGACGAACCACAGGGATGTTGTGGTTCAAGATGAAAGTCTGAATCAGATGCGCAGAATGGGCGGGTGCGTTATCATGATGGAGCTGCCAAGTTTTTGCTGCCCACAGATCCGGTCGTTTGCACTGCACAGCATCACGAAGGCAATGAAGGACCTCCTGGTAGTATTCCTTTATGATGGTTTGGCCTTGTGGTGCGTACTCATGATGCACAACTCCACGGGAGTCGAAGGCCAACATGACCTTGACATTGCTGCAGACCTGCCATGCTTGTTTAGGATTTCAAAATGCTGTATAATAAGGAATGTAAGATTTAAGGTTCTCACAGCAGTGGTTGCAAAGAGTTTTATCTTCTGGGATATAACACCATGTAGTCCACTGAAAGTCAACTGACATTTCGGAGGAATGTTTCACATCCATCTTCATGGTCGGAGAATAAGCCAAGCATGAAAGCAGGGCTCTGCATCCTAAACACGTCTGCCTCAGGGTGGTAAAAATACTCGAGTCACAAATACTGTTCTCAGATTTTGGAATTGGTCTTTTCTGCCCTAAAAATACAGAGGCACAGGGTGTTGTATAATGGTTCCTTTATAAACTTCAAACTACAAACAACTTGGGGAGAAAACCTAAATTACAATTCTACCTAAAAATTGCAGAGAAAATTTGCAGCTCGTTAGCAACACCTCATTAGAATGTAAGTGCAGGAATAAGCCCTCATTTTCTATAACATTTTTCAATATTTGTAACATTAATATACCGACAGTGCCAATGTAGCTTTTTCTTCTTATAATGAAGTTCTCATTACAAGCTATACTCATTACATTGCAGTTGTTCTGCTACAATTGTTCATTACCTGCTTCTGCGTTGCTGTAGCTGATCCCAGCAACCAGAGAGACTTCCCATCTTCTGTTATAGTCCTCGTTATCACATAATTATTCCCTCCTGAGTTCTTCAACTCTGTTTCTATTCTGGCAGCTCTGCAGCCTGTTCTGATGTATGAGTTTGGCTATAAGAGGAACAGAATTACCAACCTGTAAAACTAAATTTGTAAACAGAGTGGTGATTCACTCATTATACAACCATTTGTGTTCCAGTGTTCATACTGTCCCATGAGCACCATTCTATTTATTCACTGAGCTGAAGGCACTTATGCTAGGAATCTAATTAGCGTTAGCATTAAGGTTGACCTGAATGTCAGCTATTCATGCATAAATGGCAGGTGGCTAAACACACCCTGATGTGTCACAGTAAAAGTAAAGCTATCCCTGCAGCAGGCCGTGAAGGCCCATAGAGTTGTGAGACGTTGAGGGACCCACACTATCTAGACAATCAGCTCAAAGATGGCGGTAAGGTTGTCAGCCTTATGTGCCGGCCGTGCTTTTCTCCCTAGAAAATTATTTAACTAATTCCTAGTACTCATTTCTGTTAGAGGCTGAGTAAACCCCAGGGCTTAGTGCAGCTGGAAGGATTAGGTCATCTGAAAAAATCCAATGACTGTGTCACAGGAACTAGCTCAAAAATGACCTGCAAGGTGACTCCAAAACACAAAACTGCAAAAAATACAAGAGACAGTATGCACTGACAGACTGACTCTAAGGTGACTGATGCAAGTGAAATTATGCAAGATAAAGCCTGAGGCTATGATGTTTCTTACCATTGTTTTGGGCAGTTGATTGGTGTGAGGGAACTGACTGTTGCTCGTACATGCACACACTTGTCTGTGTATACAGTTCAGGAGCCATGGACAACTACAATCCCAGTGAATAAATGCATGTTCCCAGCAATAACATATTCTGAGACTTAAATTCTGTAGAAGCAATTTTTTTCGAGTGAGTTTCATATTTTGAGGCATGTCAGAATTCATTCGTAAAATGCCATTTCAAAGTGGATTGAGTTTAATGTTCATGGTAGGGCAGTGAATACATCTATTGACCCCAGATGTTCAATTCATACACCATAAATCAAGGAAAAAGTCTGAAATATATAGCTGCAGAGTCCATTACACTCAGCAAAGTGATATACAGTCTCCTTAAAAATCTCAAGTAAGTCCCTTTGCAAACTTATAGAAATAAGGTAATTAACTGCATCCACCACTCTTGTTATTTCTCAAAATATTTTTACAGGGGTTTTCGGCCAATCTCCAACAGTGGCCCAAACAGAAATGTCATAGCCTTCTGCCCCACTCTATTACTCTCATGGAGCTTAGACCTTCTTGAGGAGCTGCCATTGTGCAGCTACTCAAAAACTTCCCAACATTTTATGGAACACGAAGGTACACTATTGTGTTCAGAAATGCCCTCCACTGATCCCTATCCTGAGCCACACTGATCCAGTTCATACCATCCAATCCTACCACTCTAAGATTCATTTTAATATTGTCCACCCACATACGTCTTGGTCTTCCCGCTGGCCTCCTTCCTTCCAGCTTTTTGACCAATACACTATATTCATTCCTATTCTCCACATTTGTGCTACATGACCTGCCCATCTCATCCACCTTGACTTCATCATTCTAATTATACTTTGAGAAGAGTAGAAATTATGGTGCTCCTCATTATGCAGTTTTCTCCAACCTCCCATTATTTCATCTCTCCTCAATACAAATATTCTCCTCAGCACCCTGTTACCAAACACCCTCAGTCTATGTTCCTTCCTTAATGTCAGAGACCAAATTTAACACCCACACAGAACCAAAGGCAAAATTACAGTTTTGTATATTCTAATTTTCATGTTTTTAGACTTTTGCCACCACCAGGTAGAGGTCGGTATCATAATCTGCTGCCCTGAATGATCAGACATCAAGTATACTTGAATGCCATCTCCTATCTATCAAAATATGGTCAAGTTGGTTGTGTGTCTTTCAATTGGGAGATGTCCAAGTAAATTTATGAATGTTACGATGTGGGAACATCTCACTTTGACAAGATTTTTGGACGTATCAAAATTTACTATTCTAACTCCATTATCATCACTAATTTCATGTAAATTCCCATTCCCAACTGTTTGTTTGAAAATGTCTTTCCTACCTATTATGGTACTGAAATCTCCTAACAACATTTTCATATGGTATTTAGGGAATTTATTGAAAATATGTTCTAGTTCATTGGAAGACTTGTCCTTCATATCACCAAATTTATACTCTTTTGGGGCATGAATATTCAGACCGATGATATCACACCAGCAATCTCCTGAGTATTACGTATGACACCCTATCACTAACAAACACTAGCTTCTTAACTGCTCATATGATTCCCTTATGCACAAAAAAAAAACCTGTACCTAATTCATTATTCTTATTCATTATTCCTTTCCACAAAAAAGGTATAGTCGCCTGTTGGTTTGGTACCACCTCTGTCCCATTTGACCTCTTGTACTCCCACTAAATCTAAATAAGATCTAAAAGTTTGTGATGATGGTACATTAGTACATTATTCATCATCTTGTCTTTACCTAAAAGCCGTCCTGTTTATTTTCCAAAACACCTATTGGAGACTGGATTCTGTCTCCGTCTTCAGGTAAAACCAACTCAGTTGGGCCCAATCAACAGAGTTAGTCCCTATCTCCGGACACCTATGCCAATAGCGCCATCAATTGGGCCCAACTGAGTACGTTTTACCTGAAGACAGAGACAGAATCCAGTCTCTGAAATGTTGCGTTTTGAAAAATAAACACGACAGTTTTTAGATAAAGAGACAAGACAATGGATAATGTCCAACTACATAATATTTCCACTAAATCTAACTATATTTTGATATTTTTTCCGCCACTGTCCTCAGGAAACCGGTCCTATACACACTTCTAACATTCCGAGTACCAAATCTCATATCCATTTTCTTTTGCTTGGGTCGTTTATCAAAAGAATGCAAAACAATGCCAAGTGAAAGATGTCAAGAACAGTCTTAGTAGGTATTCAGAGACTCTGAAAATACTAGCCCAACATTCACACAGAGAGACACATGAAGTCTATGAAGAATATCATTCAGGATAACTGAGACTCAAAAGGGGTACCTCTGGAATTCAAGTCAAGTGCACTGCCCTTATGACCTGCTCAATTACAGATAATTAAATAAATGCCAAAATGTCAGACTACAATGTACTTTGCCTTTAGTCCAGCTCAATATGACTCTAGCTTCTAGAAGGCATTAGCAAGCACATATCACTGCTAATTGTGCCAATACCTGTACATATTCCAGCATGAAACTTTGGCAATATTTCTTGTCTCCATCCGACCAGATTGCTTACAGATGGCTGCAACTATGGATACAAAAGCAGGTCACATCTTTACCAAACGATGAGCATCCTCCAGCTACAATACTCATGCACATGTCCTCAACAAGTGGGGTGTGCCCCTTCCAGGAGGCACACAAAATTTAAAAGGGGGGCATGAGAGCCCATTGACTTAGTGATATTTTTATCTTAAGTATTGTGACGCATTACCTTATGTCCATCACCGCAACCACCACTACAATTGGAACGGACACTTCCATGACAATGAATACGTGGAAATTGGGGAGTTCCCGCAGTGACAAATAGTAGCAACGAACTGTCGTTGAGTAACAACGGAGGAGACGAAACATGTTACTGGTGTAATCTATAAGGAATGTTCCTGTAACAATGGACTGCCTGAACAGTTGTAATGGAACCGCGACAAACGGTGTCCGGTATCCAGACTGCATAAGTCATATAAGCAGAGCTTATGACATGTATTGAAGATTGGAATATTAGAGTATTGAGAATGATATGGTCTTGGAATAGCCACCACCAGAGATAGTTGGGATCCAACTACGGCCAATGATAGCTGAGATGTCGAATTGGAGTACTGGGCCAGAAGTCACGTGATAATAACTGCAAGGTGTGTAAGTGTGAGTGCCCAATAAAGATCTGCTAAATCCGAGACCCACATACAGTTATTTGCCACGTGACATAGCCAACACGTGACAACTGGTGTCAGAAGTGGGATCAGTTCGGATTAATCGGATCGAATACAGAAGATTGGATTTACACACGTGACCAACAGGATCAAATTTAAACACAAAAACAACACATAAAAAAAATGGATTTGCAACACATAATTGAATTCCTGCTAGGCTGGCGAGAAGAAATTAGAGCCAGCGGCAAGGACTCTGCCGCCAAAATCAAACCCAAAACAGAAGAGACAATGGCCTGCCAAGAGACAACGAAGGCATGTCAGGAAGAGAAAAAGCCTACCTCACTGGATAGGAAACTGGAGGCGGCAGAATGATGAGAGGTCCCCAAAGAAGACGCCGAAGTAATGCCAGTCGGAGAACTGAAGAAGAAAAGGTGTAGGGACCAAAAACTGGCCACGAAGCGCCGCCACCAGAAACCGAAAAATTCAACATGGGAAAATTGTAAACCCCAGAAGAAATTGGCCATTGCCCATAGAGGGACAACACACTGAGAAAGTGGCACGGAAAACGCCAATAGACCGAAGGATGTCCCGTCGCGCAACAGTGGCACGATGCAAGAGACACATCGTGAAGAAGAATCTTACTCAGGGAGCTGGTGGATTCCCAAGGAAGCAACTGGTCATGGCCAACAAGATGACCCGCTGCGCAAGTGTGGCACAGCACAAGAGACTCAGCTCTCAGGAAGATAAGTTGGAGTCATGCGCAAGTGCACAAGGAGATGTACCACATGGAATCATGACAAATACAGACATCAAAAACTTGACACTGTGGAGAAGATGACCTCCTCCAAAACGAAAGAAAGGAAACGGCCAGCTTGGGAGGAACCGGTAGTAGAGAGACCGGCCTCCCTAACAAGAATGAAAGTGAGGAATGAATGTGAGACAATGGGAACAACAAATCCTGGACCACGGAAGTGCTCGGGACGAGCACTCTGGAAGAAGGGGGGCAGATGGAAGGAAGGCAAAGCACCGAAGGAAAGGCGGAGGTAACACGCAGAAGATGAACACCTTAGGAAACAAAACCAAGGAAGTACCGTTAGGCTGTTCAGGGTCGAACAACCTTTAGATGGGAGCAATGTGACGCGTTATCTTACGTCCATCACCGTGACAACCGGAACGGACACTTCCACGACAATGAATACATAGAAATTGGGGAGTTCCCACAGCGACAGATCGTAGCAATAAAACTGTCGTTGAGTAACAATGGAGGAGACAAAACACGTTACCGGTGTAATCTATAAGGAACATTCCTGTAACAAGAGACTGCCTGAACAGCGGTAATAAAACCACGACAAATGGTGTCCGGTATCCAGACCGCATAACCCCTATATAAGCAGAGCTTACGACACGTATTGAAGATTGGAATATTAGAGTATTGAGAATGAGACAGTCTTGGAATAGCCACCGCCAGAGATAGTTGAGATCCAACCACGGCCAAGGATAGTTGAGACGTCACATTGGAGTACTGGGCCAGAAGTCAAGAGATATTGCAAGTGATAATAATTGTAAGGTGTGTAAGTGTGAGTGTCCAATAAAGATCAGCTAAATCCGAGACCCACGTAAAGTTATTTGTCGCGTGACATACCCAAAATGTGACAGTATGCATAAAATTGCAATTTTACTGTCAAACCATGTAAATATCAAGTTTTAAACACAATAGAAAATGTACACAGCAAAAATGTCCCATTTTGGAGCGTTCAAAAGACTGATTGTTCCTCTTCAAACTGGTATGTGACACTTCATGTCATCTATTGACAGCATACAAGAAGTACGCCAAATTAACTCCAGCTGTATCACCTGAGTTATCTGCATAGTGCTGCACCATGTGTTTTGAGAAATTTCTTGAGCCACTGAGAAACTCATGGATCATTCTCAAACGAAATATTTTATTATATAATGAAGTGAAAAACTGCTCACACAGCTTTCTTTGGTGATTCTGTATGTGTTCTTTTTTTCTGATCATGAGCAGCGAATAAATGTGCTTTGTCTGAATTTTGACGAATCCGAAACTTCAAACACAGGCATGAAGGCCTCTCAGTCAGTGTTGCTCCCTTCCATAGTGGCTGCAGAGAATTGAAAATTTGATGTGGCCCACATAAAGTACTAATTCACATACATTAAAAAGGATGGAATAAAACTTCCTCAGTGCACCATCTACTTAAAAATTCGAAGCAATGACACTATGCAACCCACTTGGATTCAGTGCCATTTCACTTCCTAGCTCTTGTTGAAAACTGAATTACTTTGTATAAAGTGTGATTCTGTGTAGCACATGAAATTAAACAACATTTCACCAGGAATGTATCAAGATCATGAGGCTTCATATGAGATTGTTCTTCTCATTGTAAAAGAGAAAAGACCTCACAGCACAGGAGAAACTCTGGTGAAGCCTTGCATTTTATGTGCTGAAAAATTGTGCTTGCAAAATAAAGTGAGGATAAACTCATGAAAATCTGATTCCACAGCGAAATGCTGATCTGATGCACTGTGTTCATTATTATTTTAATAAGTCAGGAAATATATGCATAGCATACATTTATCTGAGAGATGTAAGACTTAATAAAGCAAATTTAAAAAAAAAAACAATGTGTGTTTCATTTACCTCTGAAAGTTATGTTCCAAACATTTTTCACTCAGATAAATATTTAGTGAACTACACTTGAGATGAGCACAGAAATGCATTTAGCCTTCATGCATAGCATCTCCTATCATCCCACCTGAATCAAAACTGGAAAGTTTCAAAAAATTTTAGGAAGACTCCCCAAATATACAAATTCACACAAATCTACTGAGTGCTTCCTGGGTTGTTTCATGCATACAGATGGATGGAGGCATTTTAATATGCATTCCACAGGGCCATAAATGTGCACACAAAGGTGTCAAATTCTCAATTCCTAAGAGCCTAAGGATGGCAACCCTTACAGACAAAACACATACCTAATGTGCAATGTATCACTTTCCTCAAACCTGACCAAGTGGCTACTGCCAACATCTGAACTGCAACATTGCAACATTACTACTCTACTCACACTTTCTGTTATAACATGCTACAGTGGACTATCATACACTTGCATGTTTCAGATTGCTAAACAGCAGTGAATTTTAATATAATACATACAGCTACAGCACGTCCCAGCAGCTTTGGTTTTCCTCCAAGACCCAAAACCATTGCACAAACAATGGTGGATTTGCCTGACCCATTGGGACCTATAATAAGATTCAGGTTTGGTCCTGCATTGAACACCACTTTTCTAAACGTCCTGCAAAGAATGTGTCAGTTAGCACAATACAGCAACACAATGCCTAGTTTCTTTCAGATGAAATAATCTGTATGTTCAGGATTGCAAGGGATTCCAAATTAATGGCTAAATAATTCACTGATCCATTGCTGTGCAATGTTTTCTCTAGCATAGTTCCTCTTAACTACTTAAAATCTGTCAGACATCTTACAGTTTTACAGGATCAACAGATTAAGCAAACCTGAGATTCTGATGTCTATGAATATTAAGATTAGTCTGTCATACTACACAGCTTCACATCCAAGCACAACACTTACATGAAATCTTCCAAAGTTATTCTCACAATAATTCCATCCATGTCTTTGAAGGATTCCAATCAAAAGAAAGTAGCCAAACAGCCAGTAGGAACCCTTTTTATCACTGCTATAGGAATGTTGACTGGGTAGTTCAAAATCTCTGCAACACCCTGCTTATTTGAAATTGTCAATAGATGAAAATAGTCAAATTAAAATTATGCATACAAATACTATCGGGACATAACCAGGTGGCAACATCGGCCCCGGAAACATTAAAAATCACCAAATTGAGCAATCCCAAGTCGAATAAAAAGTTACGTTCTTCAATAACAACGTGCTTGGCAGATATTGGAGATTAAGTGCACCCCGGCCGCTGGTAAGTCTTGCAAATGCCAAGTTCCTTCAACAAAACACAAAAAATGCATAACATTAGAAACGCAGTACTAAAAAACGCACTCGAATAGTAACTTCGAAGCTATACAACTGGTACGGAATGCCATTACAAACCTTCCACCAGCAACATACCTCACATATAAATGCACATGAACTCCCATCTACTACTCCTACATCATTTGCCACCTTTGACCAGGGTGCGGCAACTGGAATAGGGGAAAGGGAAACACCGGTAACTGCGCCTTTAACGCCTTTGACACCATCTGAAACGATCTGAAACCGTCTGAAATCAACCAGATAAAACCTGTCATAGTCTTCTTGTCTTCGTAGTGGTCATAGTCGTCATGGTCGTCATAGTCGTATTATATGAGCGGGAAATAGTCCAGTCGTCACTGCCACCTATGTTCAGCGCAGAGTAGCAGTTTCGAACACGATAGTCTCGAATGGTCTGGACCAATCACAATATACCTATCGTATCGTATCCTATTTGGCTGAACCAATGACAGAGCCCCTAAGAAACCTATCAAATCGTATGCATGGCTATTTGCCTGAACGGTCAGAACGGTCAGAACTAACCACGGAGATCATGGAGTCCCACACAAACACTTATGCTCAAGGACCTCACGGACATTATGGAGTTGAACCAATATTGAGAAGATAAAGATTGTGCAGGTACCCAAGAACTTTCTAGCATTTTATGGAACCCGAAGGTTGATTACATTGTTCACAAGAGCCCTCCACTGGCCACTATCCTCAGCCAGATCAATCCAAACCATTCCATCCAATCTCTCTCTCTCTCTCTCTCTCTCTCTCTAAGACCCATTTTAATATCGTCCACCCACCTACATCTTGGTCTTCCCAGTGATGTCTTTCCATCTGGCTTTCCCACCAATATGCTATATGCATTTCTCTTCTCCATTATTCGTGCTACATGCCCTGCCCNCTATGTTCCTCCCTTAATATCAGAGACCAGGTTTCACACCCGAACAGACCCACAGGCAAAATTAAAGTTTTGTAGATTCCAATTTTTATGTTTTTGGACAGCAGACGAGACTACATAAGGTTCTGGACTGAATGGTAGCAAGCATTACCCAAGTTCAANGATAATACGTGGAGAAGAGTACAAATCATGAAGCTCTTCATTATGCAGTTTTCCCCAACCTCCTGTCACTTCAGCTCTCTTTGGGCCAAATAGTCTCCTCAACACCCCGTTCCCAAACACACTCAGTCTATGTAAGATTTGAGGCTTTCACGGCGGTGACTATGAAGAAAGTAGTCTTCTGTGATTTGGGACCGTGTATATGTGGTGTTAACCGACGTTTCGGAGGAACGTATCGCCTCCATCTTCAGGGTAGAAGAAAAAATATAAGAAATCCGCAAGCGAAGAGACCGTGAGAACCGGTAAAATCTCACGGTCTCTTGGCTTGCAGAATTCTTATATTTTTCTTCTACCCTGAAGATGGAGGCGATACGTTCCTCCGAAACGTCGGTTAACACCACATATACACGGTGCCAAATCCCAGAAGACTGCTTTCTTCACACTGTCTATGTTCCTCCCTTAATATCAGAGACCAGGTTTCACACCCGAACAGACCCACAGGCAAAATTAAAGTTTTGTAGATTCCAATTTTTATGTTTTTGGACAGCAGACGAGACTACATAAGGTTCTGGACTGAATGGTAGCAAGCATTACCCAAGTTCAATCTCTTAATTTCCTCTTCAATCAGGTTTTGATTTGTTATAGTCCTACACAAATATCTGAACTGTGCCACAATTTCAAAACATCTGTTATTTATCTTTATGTCATGAGTTTGCCCTGAATTTTGGTGGTGAGATACCAACATATACTTAGTTTTATTTGTGTTTATTTCTAGACTGACCTCCTTACTGGTGTCAATATTTCTGTATTTCTCTTTATGATATACACGTATATAGCATCGCCCAGTAGATTCACATCATCAGCATAGAACAACAGTTGATGTGTCCTATTTAATTTCAGTCCCACCTGGTTTTCTCGGAACTTGCTAATGGCATATTCTAAAGCAAAGTTGAAAAGCAGTGGCAATAAAGCATCTTCTTGTTTTAGACCGTTCTGGATAGGAGAATTATTAAACAAATGTTTACCTATACAGACTCTACCATACAGTTCGTTTAAACACATTCTAATCAGCGTGACAAGTCTCATGGGTACCCCAAACTCTATCAGAATCTTGTACAATACTTCACTCCTAACTGAATCATAGGCTTTCTTGAATTCTACAAATAGTTGATGTACTGTCTCATTGTACTCGCATTTTTTCTCCAGTGTCTGACGAATGCAAAGGATGTCATCAGTAGTTTATCTGTTATGTTGAAACCCACACTGATGATCACCAATAATTTGCATCTTGTATCTTGTATCTTTATTTTCATTTCCATAGATCCTTACTGGCTACCAAAGCCATCAGATATAAGACATGTCACAATTTACATATATTAGTTCTGAGAACAGAAACTAGTCCACTTGCAGCTATATTCATAAAAGGAACCATAATTATACAATTCAATAATTTAACCAACATGTACAATTCATTAACTAGACATTAATATCTTATTAAGCTCATTTCTTAAAAATATATATACAAATATCAATTGAAAGTCTTTTATATAAACAGCATTATAAAAAGTTTAGTTTATCTTGTATTTAAAATACTCATCCAGCATATAAAATAAATGGGAATACAAGAATTTTTCAAGGCAAATTAAAATGTTTTTTATTATGGGATAGATCTTTCATTGGAACAGGTAAGCTGTTAAACACCTTAATCTCGGCTGATTCAGTGCCACCTCCACCCCATCTGACCTCCTGTACTCCCACTAAATCTAATCTATATTTTGAGATTTCTTCTGTGAACCTGCCCTATACATATTTCTAACATTCCAAGTACTAAATCTCACATCATTTTCTTTAGCTTATGTCGTTCATTCAAGGAATCCGTCCAGGCCCGAGGTTTCTTGCAAATTTTCGTAACAAACTTTTTTTTTATGACGAGGAGTTGTCAGCCCCACGCCCAAGCCCAATGCTGGAGGACCACCCCTTGTCGGCTCTCCGCGATATATTTGCAGCTACCCTCCATTTCTGGAAGGCGTCTCCTCCATCTGCAACCTGAGGACGCCCCATGCTGTGGTGACAAGGAAGCCACCTAGTGCAGGCCTAAGAAAATAAGAAATGGCAGTATGCCTGCAGGCTATTTGGGATGAACAACCTTAAGGAGGTAGTAGTGTGGCATGTACATCTGTTGTTAGGCAATGGCAAAACCAACAACTATATAACATCTTCGTTGTATGCATCGTGTCATGTATCATATTTAATGTAAAAAGGTTTGGCTGTCAACACAATATTTAATCAAGTAAACCAAGGTAACTCTCAACACTTGGTGTACTATATGACTGTTATGCATTGCACCAATATGGATCCACATTCAGTTAACTACAAACATATTTGTAGAACTACCTGATGATGGTCCCATTAGGAACGAAACATGCATTAGCCACTGAAATAAACTAATTGCTGAGAGCTACCTTGGTTCATTTAATTAAATATTGTTGTGTCGATGGCCAAACCTTTTCCATTAACTGTACAACAGCCATTGCTAACTAATGGCTCTGCAAACAAGCATATTTCCATGGCAACGAGAGAACAGCAATAATGGGAGAGACGTTTTCTACACAGTCCATGCTGAAAGGTTAGCAGTTGCAGTCAAGAGAACTGCTGAGGCTCAGTTGTTGTCAGCTGCTACCTTAGCTGGTAGCAAAGGCGGGGTACAATTTGGGAACCCACAGGAAAGGGAATGTCCACACTGAAAGCTGCTACCAAGCAACAGGAGTGAAGATGGGACTATAGGCACTAGTGTGTGTCATAGTGAACTGTAATGTGTAATCCCGCACTGTATCAAAGTGTGCAATTAGTCAAGTCATAAACCAAAACCAGTCTATCATGTGACAGTATTCTAAGAGACAAAAATTTGTTTCACAATAATCACCATGTTAACCTAAACTGTCCAGTCTCAAGGGCAGAATGACCATATGAAATTTTCTGAGTGCATATGTGACACGGTAAAAGTGAATGTATATGATGATGCAGGAGGACCTGCCTTTTTTTAAAGTAAACATTGTTAAGGGAAACATTTATCTCGACATGTTAGAACTGCTTACTTTTCCACAAATTGTGGCAGATCCTGCAAATGAAACATAAACTGCATTTGTTTTCCAACAATATGTGACCCTACCCCATTTCAGTTCTGAAGATTAACATGTTCTGGACGTTGGGTTCCTTAATCAACAGAATGGAAGAAGCAGATCGATAACCTGACTGCCAAGACACCCAGATCTTATGCCACTGGATTTTTTCATGTAGGAATATGTGAAATTCAGATAAAATGCACGACTAACATTGCCCACAGGAGAAAATTTATACTGCTATAGTGACAATAACTCCAAACATGCTTCATCACGCTTGGAAGAAATTAAATACCAGATGGGTGTCTTGCAGGGCTGCAAATGCTGCTCACATGAACACATAGCAAGAATATTAGAAACCTCTAAATTTCTGAATAAATTAAAAAATAACTTTCATATTTCACAAGTTATTGCATCTTGAAACTGGGGACTTATTCTTTATCAGGCTGACAATGTAATATGGAACACTGCTATTATGAAAGTAAGCTTGGCAGTATCTCTAAAAATGGGTAATGTACATGCTTCGTATAATTTTAGGTTCCCACAGCGGAGGTTATGAAGGGTACTATTTTTGTGATGTAATGCTGTGTAGTCCATTTAAAATCAACTTGGCTTGAATGTACATGCTGTTTTGATATTAAAAAATTCTGGGTCTTGCTCCTAACCCCTATAACCCACTGCCACATCAGTGGGTTATCAACCTAAACCGCAGTTGAATAATCGGCAGCGAGTGACTCGGCAGCCGTGTCGCGTTAATGGGTTATGCACCATATACACTAATACAACAAACGGACATGTGCAACAAAGAGTGGCTGGCCGCTCGCGACTAGTCGCATCAATGGGTTTTCAATCTAAGTCAAAGTGTCAACTGTAACATTTTTGGACCCTCATTTAGTTAATTCTGTATCGGTGAATTATTGCCAAGTTTAACAATACACACCAAAAGCAGCATTTTTCAACTGAAGCACTACCAGGAAAACAAAAACACACATACATACAAAGTTATCAAACTGCATCCCCCAAAAAAGCCAGAGTCTGTGACTAAAAAGTGTATGATTTCATACAAAACTATTCAGTAACAAGCTTCAAATCTTACATATTCAGTAACAGTTGTCAAGGAAATTAAAATCTGAATTAAATAACTGAAGGGACAAATTTTGACAAAT